ACACTGAACTTGAGGATGTATGTGAATAGTCCTAAAGGTTTGGGGGTTTTTTAAACCAACAAACTTTTAAGCTATTGCTTTTCTTCTTCTCCTGGCCAGTGAGTTCTGTTTCTCCAGTGGCTTAAAGGAGGGATGAACACTGACCTTCAAGGCTTGTTGCCAAGAGAGCTTTGTGGCAAATGAGCGTTTCCCAATTAGTTCATTGCTAATTTGACTTCAGATTAGAAGTTTCCTTTAAAGGAACAGGGTTTTTTTCTGTGTTGGGTTGTTTGTTTTGTTGGGTTTTTGGTTTTTTTTTTTTTTTTGCATGAGGCTGGTGCGCCCCTTCTTCCTCATGAGGGATTTAATTTTTTATTTTTAACACCAACTTGAGTTGATTTACATGGGTTTATTTCCTCCCCCTGCTTTGAAAACTCTCTCCCTTCTGCTGTGACACCAAGTGCTGAACTCTGACAATATTTCCCAACCCAATTTCTTCCAGTAGCTGGTGATTGACCTCGCTGGCTGTACCTGTCACTTCCTCCCCCAGCCACCAATTATCTTCCCTTGGGGACACAGGCCAGCCTGTCCCTCAGACAACTCCTGGGAATTCCCAGGGCAGGTTACTCCAGTCTTCCATCCCAAAATACACCCTCAGAATATCCTGGCTGAGCACACGGTGGGGGGAAGAAACAGCTCTGGGTGTGCCTCACCCCCCCTGGATGGATGAAACAGCTGAATTTTGGTGGGGGGGAAATTGATATTGTGGCTTGTTTTGAGCAGGTTTGGGGTTTGTACAACTGGTTCTCGTGTTGGAGGCTCTGCCATCGCCACTGTACTGAAAAGGAGGGAAGAACATGCTTTTATAGACTTATTTTTTTAATGTTTATAGAACTGGGCACAGTGGTGAGTGAGAATAAACCTCTTCCAGCCTCCTCTCTCTGTGTCTGTGATGCTGCTGGGCCCTGCCCGACCCAGAACCCTTCCCTGAGCTCTGGAATCGGGGATAAATCCCAAAATACTCAATTTCCAGCACCAGCCACGTGCTCTCCGTGGAGCTGCTCCTTGTTGAGGCCGTGCCCAGCACTCCGTGCTCATCCCAATTCCAGGGGATGATGGGGTGATGTGTCCTCCCTGCTGGAAAACTCCTGTGGCATTTTAACAAAGCCCAGGCTGTGTCAGACTTTCCCTTCCCAACCTGCTCCCTCCCTTCGGATCCCTCCAGCCACAGAGCCTCCGTGGAAAGGGAAACAGCTCCAGCCCTGCTGGGATTTAAGGTCTTTTCTGGCAGGAGAAATCCTGACTGCAACAATGGGACCTTTGGCTCCAGCTCGGGGTAGAGTCCTCCAAAGTGCTCCTTATCTCCTGGCCAAGCTCTGGGGTCAGCTGATGGAGCTCGTTAAGTCCTGCATTTGGTTAATTACCCCACTTCAGGGCTTCAGCAGCATTCCCTGCTTGCTTCCCCTTTTTTTTCCCACCTCTGCAGGAATATTTTTGTGCCCCTGCCAAGGGCAGCTGGGTGGCAGATGTCTCTGTGGAAGGGCATTGATGCGACGCTCAGCTGTCACTTCTGGCTTTTCTGCCCCAAAAATGAACGTCTGGGGCTTGTCACTGCCCCGTGGCAGCGCAGGGAGGCTAAAAAAAACCCCCAAAAAAAAGAAACAAAACAGGGAGGAGCGAGATAAAAGCAACAAGCAGAGAGGAGGAAGAAAAGTCTGAGCCTGGCTGGGCGTGGGTGGGTGCAGAGCCGGGCAGGGCCAACGCATCCCGCATGGAAAGACCCGGCAAAGGCCACCCTGGAAACCCTTCCCGGGATATTTTGGTGGCAGTGGAGCTGGTGGCAGCCCCGGGTTCGTGTCTGTGACTGCCCCGCGGTGACTCAGAGCTTCTGAGCCTCGCCGAGGAGGCAGCACAGGAATAGTTACACACCAGCGACGCGGAGGGAGTGGCTGCCGAAATATTTCAGGGCTGTGCTAAGCAACTAAAAATACACGTCAAACCCTCCTCCTCCTCCTTTTTCCTTTTCAAATCTGTTTTCTTTCTCTCTTTCTTTCTGGTTTATTTTTTCTTTTTTTTTTTTTTTTTTTGATTCTTGTTTTTGATTGTCGGAGGCCCTTAGGGGTTCCTCGGGGACAGGGCAGGTTTGGGGACAGGCGCTGGCAGCTGTGACTTCTTGTTTTCCCGGCTCGGTTCCTCTCTCCCTGCCTGTGGCAATGACTAAGAGGCAGCTTCCCCCTGCGTGCCCAGCGCCTGCCGTGCAAATCCCGGGGTGCAAACCCTGCTTGTTCCCCTTTTCCAGGGGGGAGCTTGGCACACGGATGCAGCCCACGGGCACCTTGTGTCCAGCGTCCAGAGCTGCTGGCCGCAGCAGGATCAGGCACCTCTGGTGTCCTGGAGCTGGTGGCACGCAGGGAACGGTCCTGGTGGCACTGCTGGGGACAGCAGGAGCCACGAGGATGCTCTGGTGGCCATGGCCTCGCTCGAGGCTCATCCCAAATCCTGCTCCCGGCGTAAATCGAGCCCAGGTGGCAGGACGGTGACTCGGGCTGCTCGCCCGGGCTCTGGTGCCTCCAGGAACAGCAGCTTTGGCCACCTCGCCGTGGGGACGGTGGCACTGCCACCAGCTCCCTGCACGGGGACCTCCCCGCGGCTCTGCCCCCGCGGCAGGCGGAAAGGGGTCACTGATTCACGCCCCTCATTAAGCGCTCATTAAGAAAATGAAGCTGCAGGCATTGGCTTCTTGGTTTGGGGGCAGGGGACACGCGGGATGAGCAGCTGGGGGGACACGGCAGGACGAGCCCCGGGGTGCTGCTGCTGCCGCCCTGGCGGGGTTGTGCCGGTGCGCACCGGCCGGCCGCTCTTCCCAGGAGCCCCCGGTGCCGGCCGGTTCCTCGGTGCAACCCCGAGAGCACCGCCAGGCAAAGCCGGTTCTGCTCGCCGCGGTTTCCGTGGGTGCCCCGGTGCCCGCGGGTGGCCGTCCCCAAGGTGTGTCCCCGGCCTGGGGACCCCGAGCGGGGTTGGGACAGGGACAAGGGGAGGTTTGTTTTTTTTTACCGCCCTGTCCCTCGCCCGCCGGGTTTGGCCGGGATGGAAAGTCTGAACCTGCCGGTCCGGCCGCGCCCCTAATGAGGGGTTTGGAACGGAAAGGCGGACGGCGGCTTCACCTGCGAGCCCCCGGGACACCGGGCCTGGCACCGCCACTGCCGCCCGGCCTGGCTCGGGACAGCGGGGGACACGGAGCCGTGCGCGCTCCGCTCTCGCTGAGATTTAATAAACCGCGTTTATTCGGGATTTAATTAACAGCAGCTGTCGGGGGAGGGTAGATCGCAGTTGTCCTCCCGTGCCTCAGTTTCCCCAGTGCCAGCACTGCGTGTGCCGGCCCCGAGCGCTGCCCCAGCCCTGTCCTGCGTGTCACCCGTGTCCCCCGAAGCCAGGGCTGTGCCGTGCCATGCTGTGCCGTGCCCAGCCAGTGCCAGGGGCTGTGGGCAGCACACAGGACGGACACACCGGGGCGGCAGCTCCTGGCACCGGCAGAACCGGAGGGGGGGTGGGGCGGGGGGGTCCCCCGAGTCCCCCCCACGCCCTGACACCGCTGATTTATCGCTCTCATTAGCGCGGGCCGGGAAGCATCTGGCCGCAATTAGCGCCGGCTCAGCGTCACCCGCCCCGGTGTCCCGCGTGTGCCCGGGGTCTCGGCGGCGCGGAGGCCGCATCCTGCCCGGTGTGTGTGTGTGTGTGTGAGGGGGGGGTTATCGGCGGACACCGGCGCTGCCTCCCCCCGCGCCGGTGACGTCAAGCGCTGACGCCGATCCGCCCCCTCAGCCGCCCGCGGGCTTGGCCGGCCGTGACGTCTGCCACCGCCACCGCCGTTAACTCCTTCCCCGGTGCCGCCCGCACCGGGCTCGCCGTGCCCCTGGCTGACCCACGGAGGGATGGTGTAACCCCCCCCCCACCCTCCCCGGTGAACCGGGCTTGGGCGGAGGGAGCGGCTGTTCGCTGGGTGAAGCCCGGTGCCACCGGGGCACAGCGGTGACACGGGAGGTGTGGGGACATGCAGGAATGGCGGCTCTGTGGCCGGTCCCGGGCTGACCCGCAAGGTCCCGTGGCGGTGCCTGGCCCGGTGTGTTTGTTTGTTTATTATTTATTTATTTGTTTGTTGTACCCTTTTTACAGCCGGGCTCCGGCTCGGTGCCAGGGTCCAGTCCCGGTAGCCAGTGCCAGGTTGCCGGTTCCTGTGCCCTGTGCCCGGTCCCGATTCTCAGTAGCCAATTCCCATGCCCGGTTCCCATTCCTATTCCCGGTGTCCGGTTCCTATGCCCAGTTCCCGGTGCCCATTCCCAGTGCCCCGTGCCGTTTCCGTACCCGGTTCCCGTACCCGGTTCCCGGTGCCCTGTGCCGTCCCCGTGCCCTGTTACCGGTTTCCGTGCCCGGTGCACGTTCCCGGTTCCCAGTGCCCGTTCCCGTGCCCGGTTCCCGTTCCCAGTTCTCAGTGCCCATTCCCATGCCCGGTTCCCGTTCCCAGTGCCCGTTCCCCGGTTCCCGTGCCTGGTTCCCGTTCCCAGTTCTCAGTGCCCATTCCCATGCCCGGTTCCCGTTCCCAGTGCCCGTTCCCATGCCCAGTTCCCGTTCCCCAGTTCTCGTGCCCGGTTCCCACTCCCGGTTCCCGTTCCCAGTGCCCGTTCCCATGCCCGGTTCCCGGTTCCCGTGCCCGGTTCCCGCCCCTCCCTTTGTGCCCATCAGCCCCGGCGGGGCGCGCGCCGCGGGGCCACGTGACCGCCCCTCCCCCGCGCTGACGTCATCCCAGGGCCCCGCGCGCTGTTGTCCCGTTTACCCGCCGGTCGCCGCGGCGACGGGGCCGGGGCGTGGCCGGCACGGGGCGGGGCACCGCCTCCGCGGGGCGGAGGCCACGCCCCGTATGCAAACGACGGCGGGCGAGGACGTCATCTGCAGCCAATGGGGACTCGACGCGGTGAGGTCACCGCGACGGCGCCGCCTATTTAACGCGGCGCGGGGCGCGCGGCGGCGGCAGACCCGTGTGCGCGCGCGCAGGAGCGGGGCCGCGGCCGGTGCGCACCGGGCGCCTCCCCCGCCCTCCCCGCCCCGCGCTCGCCCCGGTCCTCCCCCCGCCCCGGCGCCGTTTCCCCCGCAGCCGGGCGGGGGAGGAGGATGGAAACACCCTTCTACCATGATGATGTGTTGAGCGGCCTCGGCAGCGGCTTCGCTCCGTCCTCCGGCAGCAACGGGCTCCTCCTGCCTTTCCCCGGCGGCAGCATGATGAAGAAGGACGCGCTCGGGATGGCCTTACCGGAACAGGTGGCGGCGGCGCTGAAAGCCCCCGGCGCGGCCAGCGGCGAGGCGGCGGGGCTGCTGGGCTCGGCCGAGCTGGGGCTGCTCAAGCTGGCGTCCCCGGAGCTGGAGCGGCTCATCATCCAGTCCAACGGGCTGGTCACCACCACCCCGACCAGCGGCCAGTTCCTCTACCCTAAAGCGGCCGCCTCCGAGGAGCAGGAGTTCGCCGAGGGTTTCGTCAAGGCGCTGGAGGACTTGCACAAGCAGAACCAGCTGGGCGGCGGCGCGGCGGGGAGCGGCGGCGGCGCGGGCGGCGGCGGCGGGGGAGGAAGCGGCGGAGCGGGCGAGCTGCCCGCCGCCGGGATGGCCCCGGAGCCCCCGGCCTACGCCAACCTCACCACCCACCCGGCCGTCAGCTACGCCGCCGACCCCGGCCCGTTCGCGGCGCCGCCGCCGCGGCTGCCTCCGCCGCCGCCCCCGCCGCCGCTAAAGGACGAGCCGCAGATCGTGCCGGAGGTGCCGAGCTTCGGGGAGAGCCCCCCGCTGTCCCCCATCGACATGGACACGCAGGAGCGCATCAAGGCGGAACGGAAGCGGCTGAGGAACCGCATCGCCGCCTCCAAGTGCCGCAAGAGGAAGCTGGAGCGGATCTCCCGGCTGGAGGAGAAGGTGAAGAGCCTCAAGAGCCAGAACACGGAGCTCGCCTCCACCGCCAGCCTGCTCCGCGAGCAGGTCGCCCAGCTCAAGCAGAAGGTGCTCAGCCACGTCAACAGCGGCTGCCAGCTCCTGCCCCAGCACCAGCACCAAGTGCCGGCGTACTGACCCCGGGCGGGCCCCAGCCCGGGCACGGACCGAGGGGTACCGGGCAAGGACCCGGGGGAGCGCCCGCCCTGCCCCGGGCGTGGACCGAGGGGAACGGGGAAAGCGCTCACCTCGCCCCGGGAACGGACCGAGGGATCCCGGGCAGGGACTGAGGGGAGCGGGGGAAGCGGCCGCTCTGCCCCGGGAACGGACCGAGGGATCCCGGGCAGGGACTGAGGGGAGCGGGGGAAGCGGCCGCTTGCTCCCGGGCAAGGACTGAGGGGAGCGGGGGAAGCTCCTGCCTTGTCCCGGGCATGGACCGAGGGGTCCCGGGCATGGACCGAGGGGTCCCGAGGGGAGGAAGAAGAGCGATGATCGCCCCCCCCTCCATCTCCCCAGACACGGTGTGAGGGGAGGCCCAGGAGCGGCTCCGGGCCGTGGGCTCCGACTCCCCGCGGAGGGACAGGCCGGGGGTTCCCCGCCGCGCACGGACTGAGAGGGGCCCGGGCCGCCCCCCCCCCGGGCCCCTCCGCGCCCCACACATTCCAGTGAGGTCCCAGTAAAACCCCGGACACGGAGAATTGGCCTCTGGCTGTTTGCTGCGCCCGGGAGGGACGGGAAGGGAAGGGAAGGGGCGGCGCGGGCAGGAAGTGGCGCGGCCGGGTGCCATCTTGGGCTGAGGGGGAAACGGGACCGGGGGGGTCTGGGGAGTTCTGAGGGGCGATGGGGAATGGGGGGTGAGACCCCTCCAGGGCTGGCAAAGAGGCTCTGGGGATCACTGGAGAGGGTGGAGGGCGAGGGGCGTCCAAGGGGTTGTGGTTTTTGGGGAGGGGGAAGGGTGGAGGATGTTGTGGGGAGGGGGTGGTGAAAAGTTGGGGTGGTGCGGGGGCCGTGGGGTTGTTTGGGCTCTCTTGGGGGGATTATGGGTGTATTTGGGCTCCCCTGGGGCTGGGGGGGGGTCCCCATGTGTGAGGAGGTGGGCGAGGGGACCCCACTGCTGGTCCTGGCTGTGGCTCTGCCCTGCCAGACCCTCTCCGTGTTGGGGGGTTCACCAGCACCCCCCTGTCCTGGCCCCCGGGGCTCACCCCGAGGCACCCAGCGCGGCCGGGTCTCCTCTGCTCCTCCCAGACTTCGGCAACACCCTTGGGCTTCCCGGCACCGCAAAGGCTCCTCCTTCGCCTTCCCCACCTGCGGGGCCCCATCCCGGGGACAGCAGCACCGAGGCACCGGCCCCGTGTCCCGGGGACGCTGCTGGCGGCAGCTCCAGCCCGTTCCAGCAGCGGCATCGCCCCGCTCCCGGCAGCCGGCTGTGCGAGACAGCGTGGGGTCCCATCCCGGGGCTCCCCGGGGACCCCACGTTCAGCACCGGACCGTGGCGTGGGTGGATCCCCGGGGACCCCACGTTCAGCACCGGACCGTGCCCTGGGGGGCTCCCCGGGGACCCCACGTTCAACACCGGACCGTGGCGTGGGTGGCTCCCCGGGGACCCCACGTTCAGCACCGGACCGTGCCTTGGGGGGCTCCCCGGGGACCCCACGTTCAGCACCGGACCGTGCCCTGAGGGGCTCCCCGGGGACCCCACGTTCAGCCGTGCCGTGGGTGGCTCGCCGGGGACGCGGTGCCCGCCGGCTCCGGTTTACCGGAGGAAGCGCCGTCCCCTCCCGGCGCGGTTGTGCTGCGCCCCGGATGTGCCGCTCCGACGCCAAGATGGACGGGGCGGCCACCTGTCCGGCCCCGTGTCACCAGATCCCTGTGTCCCCAAGTCCCCGCATCCTCATGTCCCCAGATCGCATTGTCCCTGCATCTTGATGGCCCCGGGTCCCTTTGTCCCCACATTCCCACGGTCCAGTGTTCCTGGATCGCGATATCTCCCGTTTCCCAGGTCCCTTTGTCCCAAAATCCCCACATCCCAGTGTCCCCGCATCCCCCGATCCCTTTGTGCCCGCTTCCCGGTGTCCCCACGTGTCCGCAGAGTTCGCGGCAGGGCTGGCTCCCGGTACCGGGGCCGTTTCACGATCCCGGGGTGGGAGATGGGCGGAGGAAACGGCAGGAGTGTGTGTGTGGGGGGGGAATTTTGGGGGGTTTCTCCCGGTGCCCGCAGGGTCCCGGCGCTGCGGTGCCGCCCGGTACCGACAGGGGGCCGCCCCGCCTCCCCCGGGGCGGATAAAGTCGGCGGCACCGGCACCGGCACCGGGCGGGATGGCCCGGGGCGCGCTCCGCCTGCTCTGCTGCGCCGCTGCCCTGCTGGCTGCCGCAGGTACCGGGCACCGGGGAGGGTCCGCGGGGTCCCAGGGGCACGTGGGAGATGCAGCACCGGGGGGCTGGGTGCTTCCCGGTACCAGCGGTGGGTGCGTCTGTGGCCTCCCCCCGCCCAGTTCCAGGTATGGGGAGAAGCGTCCAGGTGCTCCGGGGCACCGGGGGAGTTCGGGGAGGCGACCACGCGTTGCCTCGCGGTCTGCACCGGCAGCCCGGTGGGGCACTGGGTGGGGGGTTCCGTGCCCCTTTTGGGGCTGGGGTCACCGGGGGGGGCTGCACCTCCTCCCCGGGAGTGCCAGGCTGCACCGGAGCACCCTGCCCCTCCCGGCCGATGCGGTGCCTGGGCTGCCAAACCGGCTGGTCCTGGCACGGGTACCCTGGCACTCCCGGGGCAAAGGAGTATCCCGGGCCACTGTGGGCCCCCCGTTTCCAGCCTGGGTCCCCCACACCCTCCCTGCACCCCGAGGGGCCTCGGCTCACCCATCCTGGCACACTGGGTGCTTGGCCCTGGGCTCCATGCCACCCTGGCAGAGGGTGGCAGCTGGTGGGGACAGCCCATCCCAGTGAGCCTGGCAGCTGTGGGGACCCCCAGCCACGCTGTGCCCCTGCGTGCTGGCTCTGCCAGGGGACATTTCTGTCCGGTGTCCCCCTGGGGCCAGTCTGGACTTGCTGCTCCTCTTGTGCAAACAGGATTCGGGCAGATAAGGGGCACTGCCCGGCAAACCTGCTCTGTCCCACGTGGCCGCGGGAGAGTCCCTGGCACGCCTGGCCCTGAGGGTGTCCGGTGGGTGCCACAAGGGCTGGGTCAGCACGTGTCCCTGTGGCCTGGCACTGCCCGCTGCTGCCACGCTGCTCCGCTTGTCCCCAGCAGTGCTGTGGCCGTGCCATGACAGCTCGGGAAAAGCTCTTCTGGTTCTGGATTTCTGGGATTTGATCCTGGCTAAATGCCAGCTTTCTGTGTGATCAAAATCACCTGGGAAATGATCTCTGTGAGGCCAGGAGGTGGGGCAGGTGCTGCTGCCCTGCCAGGACCCTGCCATGTGCTTGCTCACCAGCTCTCTCCTCCAAGGTCTGGAGCCAGGACGTGGCACTGATCCTGCCATTACAGTATCTCAGAACAGCTCAGGGACAGCCGTGTCACCGTCTCCATCCCGCTCAGCCACAGCCACCAGCCAGGGCACTCAGAGTGTGAGTCTGTCTGGCCCTGCCTCGGGAAGGGTCCGTGCAGTTCTATCCAGCTCCACCACACCAACAACCCCATCCAGTACCTCGGGATCAACATCTCCATCCTCTGCATCCAGCACCAGAACACCAACTCCATCAAAGACCTCGAGATCAACACCTCCATCATCTCCATCCAGCCCCACCACACCAACAACCCCATCCAGTACCTCAGGATCAAAACCACCTCTATCATCTCCACCCAGCCCCACCACACCAACCCCTCCACACAATATTTCAGAATCAACACCTCCAGTATCTTCATCCAACACCACCACAGCACCATCTTCAGCCAGGACTCCGGGATCAACGACACCTCTGATACCCTCATCCAATGCCACCACGGCACCACCTCCACCCCGCACGAGTGTGTCCAGACCCACAGAGCATCCATCCAACTCAACCACACCTCCAGCCCCGTCCTCACCCAGGCCCTCTGGGCCTGCCTCTCCCAGCTCCCCCACCGTGAACCCGTGTCCCAACAGCACCAGCACTGTCACCACCAGCTCCAGGAGGACAGCAGCCACTGGCAGCACGGCTGGGAACTCTGGTGAGAGCCAGGCTGGGGGGCACTGGGCAGCTGGGGGACCTGGGGATGACCATGGGCCCCCCTGGATCCCCCACTTGGGGCTGCACTCACAGGAGGGCTCAGGGGTGCAGGTCCCAAGGTGAGGCCAGAGCCCCCCTGGCTGCTCCCCCCTCCTTGGGGGGGTCATTGTGGGCTCCCCTTTTCTCCCCCAGTCTCTGCCAGGGGGGTCAGAGTGCCCTGGTGGAGGTGACACAGGAGCTGGGTGCCAGGTCTGTGGTGGCAGTCGGGTGACTGGAGCCAGGCTTGAGCCACCTCTTTCTCCGTGGTGCTTGGAGGCTGGGCACGAGTCTCAGTGGGGGGAATAACGGGGTGCCAGGAGGAATAATGGGGTGCCAGGTGGGAATAACGGGGTGCCAGGGGATATCACAGGGTGCCAGGGGGGAATAACGGGGTGCCAGGGAGGAATACAAGGGTGCCAAGGGGGGATAACGGGGTGCCAGTGGGAATAATGGGGTGCCAGGGGGGAATAACGGGGTGCCAGGGGATATCACAGGGTGCCAGGGGATATCACAGGGTGCCAGGGGGGAATAACGGGGTGCCAGGGGATATCACAGGGTGCCAGGGGGGAATAACGGGGTGCCAGGGGATATCACGGGGTGCCAGGGGATATCACGGGGTGCCAGGGGGGAATAACGGGGTGCCCATCTCACCCCACAGAGCAGCACCCCACTGAGCTGAGCCCTGCTGTGGTTGTCCTCATCTCCCTGGCCGTGTGCCTGCTGCTGCCGGGGGTGGCCGTGCTGCTGGTGCAGCTGTCCCGGCGCGGGACCCCCCCCTTCCAGCACCTGGATGAGGTGCCCATGGTGCGTGGGGGGGCCGGGGGGTGCCGAGGGGGGGTTTGTGGGGGGGGCAGCAGTTCCAGGGTGCGAGTGCTCACCCCGCTCTCTTTCTCTTCTTCCCCAGAGCAGAGTGACGGAGGGGTCCCCTGTCACGCCCCCCTCCCCCAGCTGACCCCCCGGCTGCAGCCCCCCGGGGCTCCCCGCGCTGCTGAATAAAGAATCTGCCGCCCTGCCTCCGCTTTCCCGTCTGCCATGTACTCCGCAGCCTGCCCGGGGAAAACCCCCGCTCCCGGGGGAAGCCCCAACCTCTTTCGGGGTGCCCCGGCCTGGGCTGGCGGCCCCGGGGCGCTCCCGGTCCGGCGGGGCTGGGCGCGGGGGGTGCGCGCCGGTGGTGCCGGGGGTGGGGGGAACGGCGCAGCCCCCCCGGCGAGGTGGGATGGGAGGGAGCGAGCGGCCAGGCACGCACGTCGCCTTCCTTCTGCTCCGCTGCACTCGGCCGAGGCCGCGCTCGCCGCGAGGACCGGGCGCCGGTAAGGGGCTGCGGGCGGGGCCGGGGGGCTGGCGGTGCCGGGGACCCCCGTGCCGGGCGTCGGCGGATCCTGGGATTGGGATGAGGCCAATGCTGCCAGTGCTGGCAAATCCCGGGGGGCTCGGGGCTCTACGGGTGCGCCCCGGTTCTCGGGGGCGGTGGGTGGCAGGTGTCCGGGGTGGATCATTAACGTGGCACCGGTGGCTTCGCCATTCGGTGGGTGCTGAGGGCTGCGGGTCGCCCCCCGTGGCCTCAAATCCTTGTCCCTGTCCCCAGCCAGCCCACGGGAGCACCGGGAGTGGGGCGGGGGGGCCCCCGAAACCCGAGGTAGGGGCTGAGCCTGGCCGAGACCCGGTGGCCATAAATCACGGTGGGGAGGAGCCCGCGTGTCCCGGCCCCGGGGTGGCCCCGGGGTGTCCCCAGCCGCGGGAGGGGGGTCCCCGCCGGTGAGCCCCTCCCGGCCGCGGCTCCCGGAGCTCCTCCCGCAGGCACGGCGATGAGACGGAGCCGGACAGCGCTGCCCTTCCTCGGCGCGGAGGTGAGACCGGCACCGGGGCCCACCGGGGGGGGCGAGGGGTGTCCCGGGGGGCGAGGGGTGTCCCCGGTTTGAGCGTCCCAGCACCGGGCCCCCGGGCAGCAATAACCGGGCTGGCGGCGCTGAGCGGGAGTTAATTATCCCCTTAATGGGCGGTTAATTATTATTCACCTCTGCGTAATTGCGCGCCGGCTCCGGGGGTTTTTCCGGCGGGGTCCCGGGGGAAGTCAGGGGCGTCCTCTCCGGTGGCGGCGGGAGAAGGAGGAGGAGGAGGACGGGGGGGTCCCGGTGGCTCGGTGCGCTGCGGGCGGAGCCGCTCCCGGTGCACCGGCTGTGCCTTTCCCCGTGTCCCCCTCTCCCAGGTAACACCCCGGTGCCCCCGGCTGCAGCGCCGCACCGTGTCCGGCAGGGGGCGCCAGCGTGCTACCGGCGCTCGGTACCGGCGGGGGGTGGGGGGTGG